TTATGCACTCCATGTCGCCGATACAAACTGTCTTCCTACACGCCGAACTGGATCGTAGGAAACCAAAGCTGAAGACCCAGCTCGTATGGATAGGGGCTCAGAAAGAGCCCAGTGTCATATCCAGGACCTGGAAATGGGTGAACGGTGAATGTTCGCCGATAATGTTGCTCGAACGTGCTCTAAAACGATTTACTTTCAGGTGACCTTGTGCAACGACCATCTTGGGGCAAAGACCAACCGAACAACTATAATGGCGAACAGAACTGTGTGGTTCTTGATGGCGGCCGACATTGGCTTTGGAATGACGTAGGATGCAATCTAGATTATTTGCACTGGATATGTCAAGACGGTTAGTAAACACTCTACAATGAAATACCTGTTGATTCAAGCGATGCATATTATTTATTAGGTCCTTTTTCCTGTGGAAGCCCTGATAAACTCATTAACACAACCATATCTGGATCATCTTTCGATATAGGAGCAACGATAGATTATAAATGTCCTGAAGGGCATATGTTGGTAGGACACAGCAAGAGAAAATGCGCCAAAAACGGTTTATGGACTGGCTCAGCACCAACTTGTAAATGTACGTACCACAAAGCCCCAAAAACCAGACCCTTGTGGGACCACATACCCTATTTCCATCATTTCAATTTCAGACGTTGACTGTGGTATGCCATCTGGCTTGGACCATGGTTCAGTATCGGTGGTTAACGAGAAAACGACGTACGATGCCAAAGCCGTTTATACTTGTCACGAAAACTACACACTTATCGGACACGAAGTACGCATGTGCGGTGAGGATGGAAAATGGACCAATTCCACGCCTCAATGTCTGTTCGACTGGTGTCCCGAGCCACCACAAGTGCACGGAGCAAAAGTGACAGTCAGTGGAAGGCGAGCTGGAGATACGGCCCTGTATATCTGTCATCCCGGATACATCATCTTCGGAGAAGAGGTTAGTAATCAAAGGATTTATCGTTACTTTCTTTACTCCGATTTGTTAATTTTCAAAAGTTGTCTCCCTACTCTAATACTAACAGTTGTGACATTTGACGCTGACAGTTCTTACACTATTCCTATCACATAACCGATTGGGTAAATTGTAATTCGTGGTATTAGCTGAGGTTATTCCAAAAAAAGCTGTGGACACCGAGGCTTTTGAGGAAATGTTTTCCTTCTTTCGCGACTTAGAAACCTGTTGATAATTCAAAATATATAACGTGATTCATTGTCATTCGAAAAGTAAATTTAGCGTCTCTTTATTTTTCTAGGTTATTTCTTGCCGTCTTGGTGGTGAATGGTCTGGTAGAGCGCCTACTTGTAAATACATCGATTGTGGTTCCCCCGCAAACATCGACAACGGACGGTACGACTTGATCAACGGTACTACTAGCGTCGAAAGCCTGGTCGAGTATACTTGCGCGGAAGACTATTGGATGAACGGACAAAAATCGCAGAAATGCACAAGGGAAGGAAAATGGTCAGCTGACACACCATCATGCGAATGTAAATACCGAATCAAGATTTTGTCCTAGCCCCCTTGCTTATCTACTATAATCTTCATGTTCTTATTTCTTTCAGTGATTACATGCGAGGAACCGGAAGTACCTGCCGGTAGCTACGTTGTAGGTTATGACTTCAATGTTCATTCTAATATCGAATACCATTGTGAAACTGGCCACATTCTCCTTGGTGAAGTGGGCCATGTCTGCCAAAGCAATGGGGAGTGGTCTGGAAACACCCCAGTGTGTGAATGTAAGTGAAACGGTCGAACTGAAATGAGATAATGATGGCTTATCATTGTAGATATTGACTGCGGAAAAGTTCCTGATCTATCTAATGGAGGAGTACTTTACGTGAATGGTACCACCTATCTGAATAGTGTAATTAGCTATAGTTGTTCGAAGAATTTCAGACTGAACGGTATACCAAAGAGAATATGCCTAGAGAGTAGACAATGGAGTGATTCGGCACCAAAATGTGAAGGTAAAATCTTACTCAAATCACTTAATCAGTTCTGCCACCATCTAATGATTCCAGAAATAAGATGTCCTGAGCCGATATTGGCCGAACACGGCATTCTATCTGTCACAGGAAACGATAGGATATACGGTAGGACGTTGATAAGAACCACCGACAGTGCTGCGAACAACGGTGCCACTTCCTACAAAATAGGAGCTCTTCTGAAGTACCGCTGTGAAAGAGGTTATAAAATAGTAGGTGAACCACTAAGTACCTGCGAAGACACAGGAAAATGGAGTGGAAGTGTTCCCCAATGTGTTTGTACGTTAACCTAAATAAAAGTTGTTTCTGTATTCTGATACCCGAAGATTTCAGATGTCGATTGTGGCACCCCGAAAGACATACTAAATGGAAACGTTATGTTACCGTCAAATGCAACCTACTATGGCGTTTTGGCCTTGTATAACTGTGATCCTAATTACGAACTAGATGGCGTTTCCAGGAGATTGTGCCAAGAAAATGGAACCTGGAGCTCTGATGCCGCAAAATGCAGAGGTAAGTTATCAGAAGTGGGATTCTTGAATCAGAAGTGAGATTTGTATTGATTTATTTCAGAAATTCAGTGCAAGGAGCCTGAATTGGGAATGGAAGACATGACATTCAATGTGGATACATTCAGCATTGGAGGACTTGCGAAATACCGATGCCCAAAAGGTCATGTCATGAGAGGAAACGATACCAGGGTGTGCATGAAAAAAGGAATTTGGAGTGGCGGGCCACCCACATGTATACGTGAGTGAAATTCGCACAGGATTTTATTGGAGAATTATCGATCATTTCCTTGTGATTTTTAGCTGTTGATTGCAAGCAGCCAGAAGACATAGAGAATGGCAGGATTATTGTACTCAACGGTACTACTTATAACAGCGCTATCGAGTACCTGTGTATCCCGAACTTTGTTAGGATTGGTCCCTATTTGAGAAAATGTATGGAAAATGGAGAGTGGTCTGGTAATGAACCAACCTGCAAAAGTGAGTATTGAATAAGCCGTGAGAAGAATATCGTTAATTCTGTTATTCAACCGTTTTAGTGCCTTCTGATGAGCCACAAGACTCTTCCAATATGGGTACCAGTATAGGAATTGGAGCCGGAGTAGTACTGTTCCTTCTGTTTTTATTGTTGATGATTTACTTGAAACTGTAAGTAGAACGGCTTATGACTTCTGATGTATACAAATTTTATGAAACTGAAAGTTTAACAACAAATTATTCGACTCAGCTATATCGAATGAGCTCGGGAATACATGATTTACATTTCACATTATGGAAAACATTATGGAAAGAAAACTTGGAGAAATATATACCTAATTATCGTATCAAATAAATCGATTAAATTACTGGAAAATTAAGCAGTCACATCGCGATATGCAACTTATCGTTTTGGTGGTATCTAACCCTACGTAATGGGGTATATAGAGGAATATAGGTAAGTTTGTTCGGTACCTACATCAGAAATTAGGACGAAGAAACTATGGAATTGTAAAGAAACACACTAATATTGATTCATTATTGATTGATTGATTGATTCATTGCCCCAAAAGAATATAAGAAAATATTCAAAATATGATAATCTACTATCCTACCTACATACAAACATTAATTATATAAATATACATAATATAGAACTTTTAGTAGTATACTACGAAGAATTAATTATGTGAAATACGAACGAACACGCTGAAGACACATTTCAAAACAGAAATTTCAACTCAACCCATAAACAAACTTCAATCTTGCAGTGCTTGCAACTCAACGATCAACGGCTCACTTCTCTCTACTTCCCGTTTCATAATATTCGCGATAGAAAATAACACGTTGCTCCACCTGACGGAAACAACTTGAACACTTCTGAGCGGTTTGCTTTGATGATTTGACCAATAAGCACGAACAAAAAACAAATGTGAACCAATGAAAACAAAGTAAACATACCGCTTTGACATCTTTTCAAGAACTCCGATAGGTGTCGTACGCGTACGCTTATTTTCTATCGCGAATAGTGGCTAAACTGAGGGCTAAACAACTAAACAACCGACTCCCGAATGTTTTGCTTGCATTTTCTGGAAAGAGAACGACGAACTGATTTTCTTTTTTCAGGCGAAAACCGGTGGCAGTGAAAAACACGGAAAACGTGGAAGGCGCCGAACGCAAGGAGGACAGGAACGCGGCCGTGATGAGCTACGCCACGTTGAGCGACCGTAACGGCTACGGTGGTCACGTGCCGGCGTCCAACGTCTACGAGAACATGCGCGAAGAGAACGTCTACGACGCGCCGTACGAAGACGCGGGAAGAAGAAGTAGCGGTGAATACGAGCCCGAACCCGTGAGCAGAGCCAACGGGAATGTGATTACGATAAATGGAGTCGCTGTGAGATAGTTTTAAAGGGAATAGGAGATTATGAGTCAGAGATATAGTAACTCTCCTTACGTCACGAAAATCACTTTATGCATTGTATAGGCTGTTTGTTCTAGAAAGAAGTGTACTGTTCATAGTATAGGAACTAAATTATTGTAGGTACCTACCTTCGATATTAATGGAAGTTACCTATCCCTGGTGATAGCGAAATAATGTGTAGAGAAAGGTCTTTCTGTTTTATCTGTATCAGATAGCAGATAAACGCGCCGAATTTCAATTATCCTGCAAAATAAATTATTGTTATTTGTACTAGCTGAACAAAGAATAATCAGGGAAAATATGGAAGTATTATTCCTTTCCGTGTAAATAGCTCATTGAAAAATGTAAATACATATATTTGTATCAAACCTGTAAAATTGTAAAAATAAATAGATTACAATAGATGTCTTTCATTTATCTGAGACTTGAGTTGAAATATCCAATCTTATATTCCGTTGCCCCTTTCCCGCTCTTGTGGTGGTCATCCACAGAACTAAAACCATAGTTCTGTCGTTCTTCTTCTCATTTTTTGTTTATTGGTTTTCTTACAAAGGTTGTACAGCCTTCAACCAGAACTGACAGCTGACTTGATTGTCAAATTTTGCCAGTCTTTCAGCTTTCATCTTCATATTCTTCATTGTTTTTAAGAGTCGAATGGGGTTAATAAGAGCAAAACTTTCAAAGATAAACTGAGTGTTCTGGTGCTCCTATAAATCGTTGTGATGAATTCCTGATAAGTTCTTATATTTTTAAAGTTATTTTCGTCCTCAGTACCTCTTTGGGATGGCCACCGTTATAGAAATCCCTTTACGGGACACAGACGAGGTGAAGATACTAGATCTAGTCTGAGAATTTTCTTGTGATTCTTGATTTTTAGGTAATCGAACTTTATTCGGACCAACTACCAGAAGGAGATGAAGTTCTCGGAATCCTTCGTCAAGAGAAGACCCAGCTATCAGTCTGGGTCAATCTTGCTGTAAGTAGTTTCAGCTGGATCCCCCAACATATTTCATGTGATATGATTTCAGCTTGAGTACTATAAACAGAGCAAAATCGATGATTTCATCAAGATACTGGAGTCCTCCAGAACAGAAGCTAATACTACTTATAGGGATTATGAGAAAGATCAAATGCGTGCTCTGGATATGCTGGCTGCATACTATGTACAGAAAGCTAACAAGGAAAAGAATAAGGACCGTAGAAGGGATCTTTTCACTAAAGCAACCCTTTTATATACAACAGCAGACAAAATTATCATGTATGATCAAGTAAGTCTTTGTGAAATCATGTTTCCATATTATAATCTTCATAATTCTCCTCTATTATAGAATCATTTACTTGGACGGGCATATTTCTGTCTTCTAGAAGGAGATAAGATGGAACAGGCTGATGCTCAGTTTAATTTTGTGTTGAACCAGTCACAAAATAACATACCCTCTCTGCTTGGTAAAGCCTGTATAGCTTATAACAAGAAAGACTATCGTGCTGCCCTTGCTTTTTACAAAAAAGCCCTGAGAACCAACCCAAATTGTCCTGCTGCAGTAAGATTAGGTATGTGTGGAATATACAGGTTTCCTGACTGTGTTCATTTTGTGGGTTTTTCAAGGTATGGGTCATTGTTTTATCAAGTTAAATAATTTGGAAAAAGCAAGGCTGGCTTTTGAGAGAGCCCTGGAGCTAGACAACAAATGTGTAGGAGCCCTAGTAGGACTTTCTATATTGAAACTGAATGAGCAACATCCAGAAACAATCAGAACAGGAGTGCAAATGCTCTCAAAAGCTTATACCATAGATTCCTCAGATCCCATGGTTTTGAATCATCTAGCTAACCATTTCTTTTTCAAAAAAGTGAGACTTCCAAAATGTGGTTTATTCATGATTTGAACGAATTGCTTTATTTTAGGACTACAGCAAAGTTCAACATTTGGCACTGCATGCTTTTCATAACACTGAGAATGAAGCAATGCGTGCTGAGAGTTGCTACCAGTTAGCCAGATCATTCCAAGTTCAAGGGGACTATGATCAAGCTTTTCAGTATTATTATCAAGCCACACAGTTTTCACCTGCTTCATTTGTATTGCCTCATTTTGGGCTTGGGCAGATGTACATTTATAGAGGGGACACAGAAAATGTAAGTAGTTTGTGGTTACTTATAATTGAAAACATAATTATTCAATATTATATCACAGAAATTTTAGTATCTATTCAAAATACTTAATAACTTGATAACTTTCATACTATAACCTATGGAAATTTTCTCTAGCAGCAAAAGGTTGAAGTTACTTTTCTCTATATCTCTCACAGATATTTATGTTGTTTCATTTGGAATTGAAATCAGTATAACCTACTTTGCTATCATAACTTATGCAATATTCCATAGTTGCAAATTGTTGCAGTTACCAGTTGGGTAGATTATTTATTGGGTAATTTTGCACTTATCATGTGATGGGTTTTTCTTCGAAATTTTTTTGGTACTTAGGCATTTTTGTCTGAAAAACACGAATTTGATAATGAAAATGCTCCTGAAAATGTGAACAAACAATTATTTATCCAGATATTTCAAGAAAAAGTTAGAAATTTTGCTTTATTATTTTGTCATTGGACACTTAATATACTCATGATGTACTTCACTGACACATTTTAAGATATAAAATTCAACAGGAAATATGATTTTTATGGCAAGTTTTTCCTATTTAGTGAGCAAGTATACCAGATGACGGCCATTTAATCCATATGCAATCCAAATACGAGATGTCAAATGTCAATAGATTGCTTTGGAATGACAGACACGCCATTATTTCAAATGATATTCTTCCTTCTTCTCACTAAACATGGATAAATCACAAGAAAATCATATTTCTAGTTGACTCATATAATAAAAAAAATGTGTCCAACATTGTGTGATAATATAAATTGTCCAATGATGGAAAAAGAAGGGCAAATTGTTCTAAATGTGATCCAGAAGACAGGCGGAAAAGATGGTGAAATTTATAGTGAAATATCTTAATAAATAATGGTTTGTTCACATTTTCATTATCAAATTCCTGTTTTTCAGACAAAAATACATAAGTACCAAAAAAAAATTTCGAAAAAAAAAACATCACATGATAAGTGCAAAATTACCATTTATTGAAGTCTCATGGAGATTTCAGTCATTGGATTTAGAATTTAGTTAATCTTGAATAAAACTTATTTTTTCCAAGCATAACCTAACTTATTATGGTCTACTAGTGGCTTTGCTGGCATTGAAGCCCTTGAATTAACATCAAAGATTTTTATACATTCCAAATTCCAATAGAACTCAATCAATGGGATTCAGTATTCAAAAATTTCTACATACAATGAAGTTTCAAAAACTGAAAACATGCTTAATAGAGCAGTTCAGCTGGCTTGAAAGATAAAAAATGTCTTCCCTAGAGTGACTTTATAAATGTCCAGTCACTGAATAGCTAAAAATCTGAAGGGTATCTCTCATGCATTAATGAATTTGTGACCCACCTGATGTTGGGTTTAGATATTTGATATTTTTATTTCATCTAAATAATCTGAGACTTAGGAGTCCCAAAAGACGGATTCTAATAGTTGATATCCATGGTACTGACGTATAACAATGATAAAACATTGACAAAGTGAAATAGAAAAGACAGGTGGATGCACCTCCATATTGAAGGTCTGATCAATCAGAAAGTGAACAATTATTGTCTCACTCTATTTATAAAGTCAATAAGAAAATATTTTTTCCTGATTGACCTAAAAATCCCAAAAAATTCATAGACACTAATTCAGACCCATAAAGAACGAATTCGATGTCAGATTTGAGGAAGAACCCTTCCCCTAGATTTTCAAAATCATCGGTTCACGCGATGCAGTAGGCTTATACTGGTCGAAAAATATTTTTTTCCTGATTGACCTAAAAATCCCAAAAAATTCATAGACACTTATTCAGACCCATAAAGAACGAATTCGATGTCAGATTTGAGGAAGAACCCTTCCCCTAGATTTTCAAAATCAGCGGTTCACGCGATGCAGTAGGCTTATACTGGTCGAAAAATAATTTTTTCCTGATTGACTCAAAAATCCCAAAAAATTCATAGACACTAATTCAGACCCCTTATGAACGAATTCGATGTCAGATTTGAGAAAGAACCCTTCCCCTAGATTTTCAAAATCAGCGGTTCACGCGATGCAGTAGGCTTATACTGGTCGAAAAATATTTTTTTCCTGATTGACCTAAAAATCCCAAAAAATTCATAGACACTAATTCAGACCCCTTATGAACGAATTCGATGTCAGATTTGAGGAAGAACCCTTCCCCTAGATTTTCAAAATCAGCGGTTCACGCGATGCAGTAGGCTTATACTGGTCGAAAAATATTTTTTTCCTGATTGGCCTAAAAATCCCAAAAAATTCATAGACACTAATTCAGACCCATAAAGAACGAATTCGATGTCAGATTTGAGAAAGAACCCTTCCCCTAGATTTTCAAAATCAGCGGTTCACGCGATGCAGTAGGCTAATACTGGTCGAAAAATTATTTGTTCCTTATTGACCTAAAAATCCCAAAAAATTCATAGACACTAATTCAGACCCATAAAGAACGAATTCGATGTCAGATTTGAGAAAGAACCCTTCCCCTAGATTTTCAAAATCAGCGGTTCACGCGATGCAGTAGGCTTATACTGGTCGAAAAATAATTTTTTCCTGATTGACTCAAAAATCCCAAAAAATTCATAGACACTAATTCAGACCCCTTATGAACGAATTCGATGTCAGATTTGAGAAAGAACCCTTCCCCTAGATTTTCAAAATCAGCGGTTCACGCGATGCAGTAGGCTTATACTGGTCGAAAAATATTTTTTTCCTGATTGACCTAAAAATCCCAAAAAATTCATAGACACTAATTCAGACCCCTTATGAACGAATTCGATGTCAGATTTGAGAAAGAACCCTTCCCCTAGATTTTCAAAATCAGCGGTTCACGCGATGCAGTAGGCTTATACTGGTCGAAAAATATTTTTTTCCTGATTGGCCTAAAAATCCCAAAAAATTCATAGACACTAATTCAGACCCATAAAGAACGAATTCGATGTCAGATTCGAGGAAGAACCCTTCCCCTAGATTTTCAAAATCAGCGGTTCACGCGATGCAGTAGGCTAATACTGGTCGAAAAATTATTTGTTCCTTATTGACCTAAAAATCCCAAAAAATTCATAGACACTAATTCAGACCCATAAAGAACGAATTCGATGTCAGATTTGAGAAAGAACCCTTCCCCTAGATTTTCAAAATCAGCGGTTCACGCGATGCAGTAGGCTTATACTGGTCGAAAAATATTTTTTTCCTGATTGACCTAAAAATCCCAAAAAATTCAAAGACACTAATTCAGACCCCTTATGAACGAATTCGATGTCAGATTTGAGAAAGAACCCTTCCCCTAGATTTTCAAAATCAGCGGTTCACGCGATGCAGTAGGCTTATACTGGTCAAAAAATAATTTTTTCCTGATGAACCTAAAAATCCCAAAAAATTCATAGACACTAATTCAGACCCATAAAGAATGAATTCGATGTCAGATTTGAGAAAGAACCCTTCCCCTAGATTTTCAAAATCAGCGGTTCACGCGATGCAGTAGGCTTATACTGGTCGAAAAATATTTTTTTCCTGATTGACCTAAAAATCCCAAAAAATTCATAGACACTAATTGAGACCCATAAAGAACGAATTTGATGTCAGATTTGAGGAAGAACCCTTCCCCTAGATTTTCAAAATCAGCGGTTCACGCGATGCAGTAGGCTTATACTGGTCGAAAAATTATTTGTTCCTTATTGACCTAAAAATCCCAAAAAATTCATAGACACTAATTCAGGCCCATAAAGAACGAATTCGATGTCAGATTCGAGGAAGAACCCTTCCCCTAGATTTTCAAAATCAGCGGTTCACGCGATGCAGTAGGCTAATACTGGTCGAAAAATTATTTGTTCCTTATTGACCTAAAAATCCCAAAAAATTCATAGACACTAATTCAGACCCATAAAGAACGAATTCGATGTCAGATTCGAGGAAGAACCCTTCCCCTAGATTTTCAAAATCAGCGGTTCACGCGATGCAGTAGGCTAATACTGGTCGAAAAATTATTTGTTCCTTATTGACCTAAAAATCCCAAAAAATTCATAGACACTAATTCAGGCCCATAAAGAATGAATTCGATGTCAGATTTGAGAAAGAACCCTTCCCCTAGATTTTCAAAATCAGCGGTTCACGCGATGCAGTAGGCTTATACTGGTCGAAAAATATTTTTTTCCTGATTGACCTAAAAATCCCAAAAAATTCAAAGACACTAAATCAGACCCCTTATGAACGAATTCGATGTCAGATTTGAGAAAGAACCCTTCCCCTAGATTTTCAAAATCAGCGGTTCACGCGATGCAGTAGGCTTATACTGGTCAAAAAATAATTTTTTCCTGATGAACCTAAAAATCCCAAAAAATTCATAGACACTAATTCAGACCCATAAAGAATGAATTCGATGTCAGATTTGAGAAAGAACCCTTCCCCTAGATTTTCAAAATCAGCGGTTCACGCGATGCAGTAGGCTAATACTGGTCGAAAAATTATTTGTTCCTTATTGACCTAAAAATCCCAAAAAATTCATAGACACTAATTCAGGCCCATAAAGAACGAATTCGATGTCAGATTCGAGGAAGAACCCTTCCCCTAGATTTTCAAAATCAGCGATTCACGCGATGCAGTAGAGGCTAATACTGGTCGAAAAATATTTTTTTCCTGATTGATTCAAAAATCCCAAAAAATTCATAGACACTAATTCAGGCCCATAAAAAACGAATTCGATGTCAGATTTGAGAAAGAACCCTTTCCCTAGATTTTCAAAATCAGCGGTTCACGCGATGCAGTAGGCTTATACTGGTCGAAAAATATTTTTTTCCTGATTGACCTAAAAATCCCAAAAAATTCACAGACACTAATTTAGACCCCTTATTAACGAATTCGATGTCAGATTTGAGAAAGAACCCTTCCCCTAGATTTTCAAAATCAGCGGTTCACGCGATGCAGTAGGCTTATACTGGTCGAAAAATATTTTTTTCCTGATTGACCTAAAAATCCCAAAAAATT